TCCTGGGCGCCACTTGGGGCCTCCTGGTGGCCTCTGGGCGCGGAAGGCTCGGATTTTCAGTTCGTGTTCCCCCTCTCGGGCCCCTTTTGGGGCTGTCTTGGGTCCCTCCTGGGCCGTCTTGGGCGCCTCTTGGGACGTCTTGACAGCCAATAACTTGTCAACACCTAAGGAACATCTATGATTTTGGCCTCTGGGGGCCTCTTGGGAGGCCTCTTGGGGGCCTCTTGGGGCGTCTTGGATTCCTCTTGGGCCGTCCGGGGGCCATTTGGAGCGTGTCGGAGCAATCGTTCGGTGATTTGGGGTTTTCTTGGACCGTCTAGGGGGCCTCTTGGGACCTCCTGGGCGCCACTTGGGGCCTCCTGGTGGCCTCTGGGCGCGGAAGGCTCGGATTTTCAGTTCGTGTTCCCCCTCTCGGGCCCCTTTTGGGGCTGTCTTGGGTCCCTCCTGGGCCGTCTTGGGCGCCTCTTGGGACGTCTTGACAGCCAATAACTTGTCAACACCTAAGGAACATCTATGATTTTGGCCTCTGGGGGCCTCTTGGGAGGCCTCTTGGGGGCCTCTTGGGGCGTCTTGGATTCCTCTTGGGCCGTCCGGGGGCCATTTGGAGCGTGTCGGAGCAATCGTTCGGTGATTTGGGGTTTTCTTGGACCGTCTAGGGGGCCTCTTGGGGCCCTCTTGGCCCATCCTGGGGCCTTCTTGGCTCTGGGAAAGTCAAGCGACATGACGCGACACGCCCAGGTAGATTTCGGAATTTGGGGTCGTGGTCCCTTCCATATTCTTCCGGACTGAGGACTGAGAATCCGGGATTGGGCAAAGGATCTGAGGGCACGCCCACTCCGTACCCAGATGCACGGTGGCGGATGTTGTGCAACCTGTGTGACGCAATCCGTAATCTAGGTGATATGAGCTGTTAGTCGTTTGTTATATGATTCATGCGGTGTCCGATCCCATATGTATATACGTATTTATTGCTCCCAACCCTCTCTTGGTTGAGTTCTCGTTTTGACTAGAGCACTGTGGTCTCCACCTCCTCCTCCTCCTCCTCCTCCTCCTCCTCCTCCCGCCTCTCCCCTTTTCCCTCCTCTTCCTCTTTCCTCCCGCCTGCCTTCTGACCCCTGCCTCGTGCCCGCGGTCTGCGAAACTGTCGCCACTTTCGTGGGCTTCTGGGAGGGCCAGCGGAGGTACGTCCCACGCAGATCACCACGACACCTCGCCGTCGCCTGGGGGGCTGCGATCTGCAAAAGTGTCGCCACTTTCGTGGCTTCTGGGAGGGCCCGCGGAGGTACGTCCCGCGCAGGTCACCACGAGACTTCGCCGCCCCCTTGGGGGCTGCGATCTGCGAAAGTGTTGCCACTTTCGTGGGCGTCTGGGAGGGCCAGCGGAGGTACGTCCCACGCAGATCACCACGAGACTTCGCCGCCCCCTGGGGGGCTGCGATCTGCGAAAGTGTTGCCACTTTCGTGGGCTTCTGGGAGGGCCAGCGGAGGTACGTCCTGCGCTGTTACTCCCACGAAGCATGTTTCCAGTTCCCCCTCATCAGTATGTTTCCACGCCCCTCGTGGTCGCCTTCCTGCCAACGATCTGACTCTTAAGAATGATGCCGCGAATGTGAAACATTTGACTCTGGCCCAACGTTCTTTGACCAAACGTTCAAGAGCACGGCGGATCCTTCAGTGCTTGCTTGTGTATTGAGCGGCCCGATGTATAGTCGCAAAGGGTTGGGTACGCCCCCGGGTAGTTATTCGTAGCGTGTTTGAACAGAAGTGCCGATTTCTAATGATACATTCCCCAAGCCGTGTTTTGCTCCTAGGGGTTAATGGTTTTCTTTCTGAGGAACTGGGCCTGAAACTTGGTCTGGCGGCTATGGAGTCTCGCCGCTCCGTCGCCGCTCCGTCGCCGCCTCGTCGCCGCCCGTCGCCTGGGCCTGACACTTGGTTTGGCGGCTGTGTATTTGCCGTCGCCGCCCTGGGCTTTCGTCATTCTCAGCGCCCAGGGTGCGTTATCGGCGATCTGGCGAGCCCTCAACATAACGGCCTAGGATGAAACGCTCGGTCCACCGCGTGCTGAGCACCGCGAGGCCTCGTCCACTCCAAAGGGGACAGGGGGCGGGCCCGTATAGCCAAGACGCTCGTGTTCGGGAGGGGCTCGCTGTTCCTTTGGTCCTTCAGTGGTTGATCCTCTTGGCGTTCCTCGTGCACCCGGTCGTTCTTGGCGTCGAGGAGTGGCTCAGTTCCTAAATTTGGGCGTCCCTTTATGCTAGCAGCCTGGCTGTAGCCATCTTGGCCCGAGCTCCCCAGACCCCCGACGTCGTGTTTTTCTCATGGCGTGGGCCCCCGGATGAGGAGGAGGAGGAGGAGTAGGAGAAGGAAGAGGAGGAGGAGGCGGAGGAGGAGGAGGAACAAAACAGAAAAACAGCAACAACAACAGCAACAGCAACAACAACAACAACATCAATACCAATAACAATACTAGCAATACTAGTAATAATAACAGTAATACTAATAACGCTTGTAATAATACTAATAATAATAGTAGTAATAATAATTGTACTACTACTACTACTACTACTACTACTACTACTACTACTACTACTACTACTACTACTACTACTACTACTACTACTACTACTACTACTACGCTACTACTACTACTACTACTACTACTACTACTACTAACTAAAATAATACTAAATACTAAATACGACTAATAAAATAAAATAAAGTCATTAATAATAATATAAAAATAAAATACAAGTAAATGAAAGGAAATAGTAATATTCAGACTAATAAGAATAATCCTTATACGAACATGAATGATACGAATACTCATCATAATAATAATCAAACTCATAATATAATTCCAATACTAAGAATAAGCAACAATAAGTAATAATTAATCATAATAAAGAAGAGGCCGAGAGGAGATGAGGAGGCAGTTGATCCTGATCGGGAGGTGACGAGTTGAGGTGGGAGTGGGAGGGTATGGAGGCGGAGCAGCCTACTGGGGTTATAAGCCCAGTCTGATCCAGTTCCCTGGAGAAGCCGTGGTTCGAACATCCGTAGTTAGCTTTTTTACCGTGATTTCTAGCCCGGGGCCCAGTGGGGGCCCCCAGAGTCCGAACGTAGTGCAGATCCCCCCGCCATGATTTTTTCATGACCCGAGGGGGTCTGGGTCCCCAGGGGGGCTCGGCCGGGGAGCCTCGGCCTGGTCGAGCGCGCGCCAGTGCCAGTCCGGGCCGGCCCGCTCCGATGGCCCGCCCCCTGGCGCCGAGGCTGGCGCCGGGGGCCCCCGCCGCGCGCGCGCAGGTCGTGGGCCCGCGGCAGCCTCGGGGCGTCGCGGCGGGGGCAGCGGGCAGGAGCAGCGCGAGATGGCTCGCACGTACTCCTCTCGGCTACGCGTGCCCTGAGATCCTGGCCGGGCAAGTGTTCGCCACAAAAAATAGACACAGACACCCTTCACTGGATTGTTCCTGGGCCCCAGGGGAGGTTGGCGGTGTATAAATCACGGCTGAGAGCCAGCGACTTTGTACACAGGGAGGTGCATGCAAAATTCGTCGGAGGGTGTCCGTGTGTATATATATATATATGTACATGTATGTTCTTATGCTTGTATACATGTATATATACAAACATATATATATATAGATGTGGCGTAGTTGTTTGTTCACAACGGGCGTTTGCGCCAGGGTCCAGACCCCAGGACTCACACATCGATCCAGCTCCAAAGATGAGGCAGGAAGATGTGCTCTGTGGCTCTGGCGCTGTTTTTTCTTTCGATGCTGCAGAACTGTTCATTTCGAGACGTCGGATCTCAGGGTGAGAGTGGCCCTCTGCCAGAGTGGCCCATCTGGCGCGGGCGCGCTGGGGGTCCCCAGACGGCGGAGTGCCGTGCGGTGGCAGCGGCTTGCGCGCTCGGGGTTGGCATCCCCGCGCCCCCCGCAGGCCATGCACCAGGGGTCGGTCTTGCCCGGGTGCCGCTCTCTTCTGCGCGTGGCCGATCCTCCGTGCCGCTCAACGACGAGATCATGGCGTGCAGCTCTTGGCAGGAGCCGGAGGGGGAAAAGCGGCGTGAGCATACAGGGGAGGCCCATGCCAAGAAACACCCCCTGCTTGCTTCCAGGGTGCCCTGGGTCTCCTGGGTGTCGACGGTTTTGCTGTGGAATGCACGACGTTCCCACGCCAAAAATCAATGGACGTCCTGGGGGTCATACAGTGAGCGGCTTGAATAAGGAACACTTACTTTTCAAAAGGGGCTCGGTCGTTCCTTAGGCTTGCATGCGTTATTTACAGTTCCTTATGCGTTATGTGTTATTTTTCGTTCCTGATGCGTTATTCCTTGGGGTAAAAAAGGGGCTTGGTTCCTTATTTATCGTTCCTTAGGTCAGGCCGATGACTGTAGGGTTAGGTTTCTTGTGGAAGGTCTCCTGTGGTCGGGCGCCTACTGCAGACTTTCGGAGGTCCGCGTGGATCTCTGGGCCTTGCGCCTGGGACCCCCTGGCGCCGCCAGAGGCGCCGCCCCTGCCGCGCTCGATAGGGGGCTCCAGCGCCGATCCAAGCACTCCGCGCGGGCCTCCGGAAGTGTATGTTTTTCATGTTTTTTGTTGGAGCTCTTGAGGAAGTGCTCGGCCTCGCGGGTCGCAAGGTGGAGCTCATGGACGAGCTCAACATCGTCACCGCCCTCACCAGGACCGCGAGGCTGCACCGGGACGGGGACGGCGGGCGGACGCCGCTGGAGCGCGTGCGCGGCCACGAGGGTCTGTGCACCCTGCTGGAGCACGCCAGGCACTTTGCGGTGCGGTGCCGGCCGCAGCAGCTGGCCAACGCTGCCTGGTCGTGCGCCGTGCTGCTGTGCCAGGATGCCCCGCTGCTGCAGAAGATCTGCGGCCTGGCGGTCTCTCGGCTGGGCGGTTTCACGACGCAGAATGTGGCGAACACCGTGTGGGCGCTGGGGACGCTCGGCTTTCACCACGAGGAGATGCTGAGGGCCGCCCTGGGCTACGCGGAGGCAAACATTCGTGACTTCACCCCGCAAGACCTCGGAAACACATGCTGGGCCTTCGCGAGGCTTCAGCGCCAGTGCGATTCGCTATTTCAGCTCGTGGTTCGAGAGTCGCTGGTGCGACTGAACGACTTTCAGCCCCAGAATATGTCCAATCTCGTTTGGGCGTGCGCGACGATTCTCTACAAGGATGAGGCTGCTATGCACGTGCTGGCGACCCACGCGGCTGGCCGAGTAACGGAATTTACGCCGCAAGAGCTCTCGAATCTCACATGGGGCATGGCTACGCTCAACCTGATGTGCGAGCCTTGGCTTAGCGCCAGTGGCGCGGAGATGGCGGTCCGATCCCGTGAGTGTTGTCCTCAGGACTTGTCCAACACTCTCTGGGCATATGGCACACTGAAGTACAAGTGCAACGACCACGTGCGAGCAATGAATTGGCAGGTGATGAGGCTCATCGAGCACTTTTCCCCCCAGGGATTATCGAATGTTGCATGGGGCCTGTCTGCGATGGAGTACCGTGACCAGATGGCACTGACATGCATTTGCGAGGAGGCGATGCGCAGGCCCCTGGAGCAGATGACGCCGCCCGATGTGTCCACGCTGCTGTACAGCTGCGCAGTGCTGGCGTGGCTGCACGACGGCTTTCTGGCATGGCTGCGGCGTGCCATTCGCTATCTGCTCCCAGTTTTTGCCACGCGAGACGTGGCAAACGTTTCGTGGGCTATGGTTATCCTGTCGCACCGCGACGACCACATCTTCAGGCAGCTGATGGCCAGGTCCCTGGAGATGCTCCCTGACTTCAACGTCCAAGGACTGTGCAACATCGCTTGGGCTTTCGTCCGCTTTGGCGTGGAAGTGCCAGCGGCGGTGGCGCTGGGCATCGCAGAGCAGGCGGTGCGCAGGCGCCCCGAGCTGGCCGAGGAGCCCGGGGACGCAGTGCTGCTCAGCGATGCCGTGTGCAGTGAGTGGCTGCAGCATGTGCCAGCTCCCCTCTTTGAGGCGTGCGACGCCATCGGTCGCGAGCACTTCGACAGACTGCTGCCGTTTCTCGCAGACATGTCCAACATCCCGAGCCTCGGCTGCGCGCGGGGGGAGGCCGAGCGGTATCAGCAGCACATCGAGGGCCTGAACTGCATCCAGCTTGGGCGCCGGCTCACCGTGGAGCTGCTGCGGCGGCTGGGCATGCTGGAGGACTCGCGTGAGGCCGCGGGCCAGCTGCGGTCGCTGCGCGAGCGGTGGCTCGCGGACGAGCTGGAGAGCGCGGACCCGACGGACGCCACAATACGGCACAAGACCATTGGAGCTTGGTCGCTGGCCTCCAGGTGCGGCTCCCATGGCCCGGAGATCGTGGCGAGCGGCAGCCCCATGGGAGTCGACACCCGCTTCGTGTCCTGCGTCGTGGAGCACTCCCGCGCGAGCGACGCGGAGTTCCAGGTGCTCAACAGGGCGGCGGACCGCCTCCTGAGCGGCTTCGGCGCGGAGGGGGCAACCCTGCGGGTGGACGTGAGCGAGATCCCGTGCCTGTCCTGCCTGGGCGCCTTCCGGCAGTTCCAGAAGGCCTTCCCTGGGGTGAACCTCTGCGCCTCCTTCAACATCCGGAAGGTGTCCGACATCTGCGACGACCGCTCCGCCGAGGCCCCGCCCGAGCCGCCGCGGCCGCCCCCGCGGGCGCACCTCGCCCCTCCGACGGTGCTGGCTCCGGACAACCGCGGCCGGCCGCCGCCCAGGGCTTCGCCAGCGCCCGCGCCCGACAAGCCGGCCAGGGCCGCCGTCGGCGCCTCGGCGGCGCAGGCGGCGGCGCAGGATGCGACGCCGCCGCGCCCGGGAGCGCCAGCGCCAGACGGCGCCGGCGGCCACGCGGCGGACAGCGCCAGAGCTCGGGGCGCGCGCCTGGCGGCGGCGGAGGCGGAGCCGATCGGGTCGGCCTCGCACCCGCTCGAGGTGGCTGGCGTGGAGGCGCTGGCCGGCCCTGGGGCGGCGGACGCCTGGATGTCTGGGGGCAGCGATGATAGGGTGTGTGTGT